TTTAGGAAGTGGTTAATGAGATGGAGCCAGCCATATGGACTGAGAAGAAAAATTTGCCAGAAGTGACGAAAAGCTACGAAACTTATATGAAAAAGGTCTGTAGTGATTTTTTGAAAAATATGCATTTATCACTGTGCTGGAAAGCTTGGCATAGCTAGCTTGAGGTCTGAAAGCGTCTCAATTTACATCACTTGTATGATATCCGCAAAACTGTTGAAGTCTTTTTATGTCAGGCAGTTCATAGGGTTGTATTGCAGCACCGTCAATGAGTCTTTGCAACCTTTCCACGTTTGTTCTGTTTGTCAAAAAGTTAATAATTTAGTGCAAAAAAAGAAAAATCATTTATTCTATGAAATGAATTATTACGCCATAAAATAAGGTATTAATTTCACATTGTTTTAGCAGGTTCTTGAAGATCTCGCTGCTTCGGTTTTACAGTGCTGTGATACTCCAGTCGATGTTGAGTAAGTTTGTTATAATTTCGTATTTTTTACAAGTTTGCTTTTTATGCGTTTTTTACATCTATGCAATGCAGAAAACGCATACTGACGAGAGGTTGTCTGTGTGTGTGTGCCTGTGTGTTCGTCTGTGCCGGCTTTTCATCTCAAAACTACGAAAGCTACAAAGCTGAAACTTTGGGGACTTAATCTACGCGAATGTATGAGTCCGTATTTCCAAAACGGACGCTTTTGCCCTCATTGTTCCCACATACGATTTGTGAAATTTTTTTGCGGGTAAATTACTAACTCGAAAATCTGAAAAGCTAGAAAACTGGGATTTTAAGGGGATGTCCCCCATCCACGTGCAATCCAATGACTTCAAATTCAGCCTCAGGTGTGCGTAGTTCTGCCCATGGAAATTTTTTGCTGGTAAGTTGCGAACTCGGGAACCTGAAAAGGTAGAAGGCTGGAATTTTAATGGGATATTCTCCGTCCACGTAGACTTTAATGAATTCAAACCCAGCCTCCAGGTGTGCATGGCTCCCACGTATGGGCCGGCGAAATTTTTTTGCGAGCAGTTTGCTGACTCAGAGACCAGAAAAGCTAAAAAGCTGAAATTTTAAGGGAATGCTTTCTCACAGTCGTGGTGGCCGGTCTCAATTTTTTACCTAGAAGCATTTGCCGGAAAAAACAGTGCCCATAACGGCAAAAACGTGCAAGAAACCATGTAAAAGACGCATCTTCGCACCGCATTCGATGTGCTGGCCAATTATTTTGAATACCTCCTTACTGATATACGCGCAAGAGTTTACTGCTTAGTAGAGCGGAACTTATTATTCTTTCATCTTTGTGTGTTCCAGATTTGCGGAAAAATTACCATCGTCGCCTTATTGCTTTCCAAATGGCTATAGCAAGGAATTCCAAGCC